GCCTTTGGGTGCTGTGTGCCTGCAGCACCCCGCTGGGAGCCCGTTCACAGTCTGGTCGCGCGAGCCGAGAAGTTTTTCCGTAGTCGTGTGCAAGCAAGGGAGTGTTGGCGGCAGCGTCTCCGCCCGCGCACCGGCTTTGGGCAGCCGGCTTCTAAAGATCCAAGCCCTCCCTGTGGCTGGCGTGGGGGACTTAACCACCAATATGTGTCCCTCGGGCGTTCCTCTGCGTGAGAGATGAGGACACCCACCCTGGAAGATTTGTGCCTTTGCGGGGACTGTTTCACCTGATGTGATAAGCTTCTAATTCAGTGTGTGCAGGTACCTCTAGCGTTTCACTTTGTGCAGTCTCAGCAAACTCAGCAGGTTGAAATTCACAAGACTGGTCAGTTTTAGAGGTTGACAGGTTCACTGCTGCTAGTCAGAATCCTAATATGGATCGCATTGGCTTCACTTTTCTGTTAAGAGGTCAGAATATTAACAGGCTACACGTGTCAGGTGGACTGACCACCGCCCTTAGTAAGAGCTTTGGTATCGGGAGAAGAGCACTGTTTCTTCTTTACCTATATTCTCTGAATATTGCTCCTCTTAAACTTGCCAGAATCTGCCTCAGTAAAGGATGACTAAAAATATGGGCTTCTAATTGCCATCCTTCCTGGCAATTGTAGTAACACTTGAAGCAGCTCTTGCTTCTGCTTTTCACCAAAGTATTGCCCTGTGCATGTGTTCAGAAACAGCCTTGGTGGAGTACTTTCATCAGCTTGCGATTAATGTATTTGGTCCTGTGGCTAGCAAGCATCAGGTGTATCTTTGAAGCTCTATTCCCTGTAGTATTTGAGTTGAAATTGCTAAGATCATCTACGGTGCTTTCCTTTCAAGTAACTCAAGTAGAGGAGAATGGTAGATTTCAAGGATATGTGGTCCTCAGCTAGCAGCTGTTTGAAATTGTCTGAGAACTGTCTAAATTGACATTTACCTGGATTTTATTGTTTAAACTACACATTGTAGTGTCAGTTTTTGCAAGGAAGCTAAAGGCTGTGCCAGTAGATTCTATCTTTCATGGGAGTGCTAGAATAGGCCTGCCGCCAGCATTTTTTGCCCCAGGCAATATTGGGTGATAGAATTTGTGTCTATGGTGCAATCAAAGGTGGGATTGCAGCACAAGAAGGTATACTCCTGCCAGCATTGGATAACAAAGAAGATGGGTTTCAGTGTGGGCTACACAATCCCCCCCCCCCCCCCCCCCGCTATACTTAGGTTACAGCCAACTCTGAAGTCGATCTTTGTTGCTACTGATACCCATTCTACTAAATCAGAGCTAGCATAACTGTGCCTTCACGTGCTGTAGTTGCACCTCTGATTGCAGGACAGACAACCATCATGATAAATACAACATAACGCAGGTCATGCAAGTTTGGGCTTCAGGTCTTTCTCCAGTCATTAGATCTAATAGGTCTCTAGCAAACTGTAAGTTAAACTCCAATGGGAAGTTAACAATAGAGGATAGTAATTAAGTTTTGATGTTCAGAACACAGTCATACACATGCACACTCATACTTACATTGATCTGTGTTGCAACAGGTAGCTTCAAATTTAGTGACAGTTCACAAATGAGCATGTACTAGACAACTTCTATGCGCTTGGATCAAACTTTCATAAAGGTCACAGTCTACAATGAGGTTTATGACAAAATGGAAGCTTCTGTTAAAAATGAACTGCTTATCTGTAAACTGCTTGACATAGGGCTCTGCTTTATTTTGTGATGGTCTAAAAATGGTCCTCGATAATTCTACCCAGACTTCCCCAGTGTGCTTCCAAAATTAGATACTTTCAAATGTAAGTGCACATGTTTACACCAGAGGAAAAGTGGGACAAACAACACACAGCATTTACTCCAGGGAAAATGCTGTTCTGTGATGTAAAGTTACATTCCAGAAAGTCAGTCAGAAAGCATATGCTGTGTATCCGCTACCATTGTTGGTTGCACTCTGAGGTAGCTAAGTGGCTAAATGTCTGCCCTGCACATTGGCTGAATGCTAAATGTCTGCCCTGTCACCTAATGGCCAGACTCTGCAATAACACCTGCTTTGTGCAGTTAGCTTGAGTTAGCTGGTCACATGTGTCTGCTTCTGACTGTGGAGTAAAATGTGGGGTAAATTACTCTGGTGCATGTGTCGTGTACACACACCATCATACTTCTCTTGAATTTCACAAAGTATACTCTAGTGTATGAAATATTTTCTTAAGTGTATCTATTTAACTTCTTAATTTTGTTTTTATATTGCAGAGATTGGAATGGGATTAACAGGCTTTGGTGTGTTTTTCCTTTTCTTTGGAATGATTCTGTTTTTTGACAAAGCACTTCTGGCTATTGGAAACGTAAGTGACTTCTATTTGCAGTTTGGTTTATATAGGTTTCCCTCGATTTATGTGGGTTCTGTATAAGCAAATTCGCTGTTACGCAGTGACCATTTTTATACCCAAAATTCGTTATATGCGATGTAGGTTCACTCTTATGCAGTCGGAATAGCCCCCCCCCCCCCCCCGCGTGAAATCCGGGGGGGGGGGGAGGGCGACAG